CGCTTTAAGGTGTAGCCAATCTTGTCAGTGACTCCTCTAACATATTGCAATACAGCAGGTACACGCTCGACTGTGGCCGGCTTCACTCGTGCACTGTGACGTAGGCGCGGGACCCGAAGCTTGTTCACATGCAAAACTTGCTTGACGTAGTGGAGCTCGGCAGGCAGGTGTTTATTGTGAGAGATCCCTTGTGCTCTCTGAAACAAAGATTTACCCACGGTAGCTAACTGTGAAGGATGATGGTGAGAATCACCATTTAAATATATTACAGAAACAGAAACTTTTTTATTTAATGTAGATTATAAACAATACTTATTGAAAATCAATTTTTTTCATTTACCACTGGTTCGCAAAAAAAACCTCTGTCCTGGGAAGAACCAGCAAGAAACACAGCGGGACATTTATTTTTTTCAAATAATAACTTACAGAAAACCAAGAGATAAGAAAATGAAATCTTTCAATAAGTATTATTTATACTTAATAATGGTTATTAAGATAAAAAGTGTAAATTGAGTGCTTCCTCTATCAATTCTAAGTCTTCTTTTTTCTTTTCTCTTGTCCAATTAAGGCAATAAACGGTGACACCCAGTATTTAAAAATAAAACATGACTAAAAAGAATTTGAGAATCAGTCTTTCCTTTCTAAAACTAAAATATCTTTTCAACGTGCATGTTAAAAAGAGAATATAATAATGCCAGAACACCTTAATTTCTTAATACATTTCCAATCTTAGACCAGACACAAAGAAAGCTAATCCTTTGTTTCAACCTTCCTGACATCCCGTTCATTTGCACAAAGCGCTTTACTTTGCTTAACGTATAGCCCCCTTACATTATATTATGTTTAAGCTATATGTGCATCAGTCTATTAATTTATATGTTATCATTCTTTTTGACTGCCTTTTTGGTCTTGTAGTTGTAGAAATTAATTTTTGAGTTTTTCCGCCAAGAAATTCTCATTAGCTGCTTGGCGTCAATAAGCGGTGTGTCACCCCCGTGCTTCGGAAAGCACGTAAATCCGTTGGTCCTGCGCCTGTACTCTCTCTGGTCGTGTTGGTTTACTATCTAATTGGAATATGAGAGTGATGGAATAGGCAGTGTACCTGTGCTTGCGCATACACTTGGGCACTATAATCCTGTCCTGTGCCGATGGCTAGCCTTCGCTGAGACAGGCTGCCGTGGCCGAAATCCGGTCTGGTAGACATTATTATTGTTATTAAAACTATGTAAGAGAGAGAGAGTACATTCAAAATACATAGCTTGCACACACCTGCATCTTGTAGAGGAATTACCTAATAAATCTGAAATTAACTAATTAATCTACGCTATATCTAATTTACGCACTTTAGCATTTACATGTACACACTGTTTTACATACTGTTTTAATCATTATTTTTACCTAAATTATAGTGTAAATGACCATCAAATTAGACTTTATAAAAAGTGATTTAATACTTTCTTTTAAATTGCCCTTTTAAAATGCCATTAGATAAAACTTGCCATTTAATGCATGAAAACGTAAATAAAAATAATTAAAAATGAGAAGAGAATAAAGTTAGCTGACATGAGGGCAGGGGTCGGTAAGCACAAATTCCATCTAAATGTTAGCGATTTTTTAAATAATATTAATAAGAAATATTATTTTCAGCGTTTTAGGATGAATTTTTCGACGTTAGTTAACCTTAACAGAATCAAATTCTTTATAAAATACAAACTAAAAACAAGCTCAAGCCTTGGAGAGGGGTTAGGGGGTAGGGGGGGTATCCATTACGCAGGTGGAGTTGGAGGCTATGAATGGTCGCTCCCTTGACGGAAACTCTCGATCCGAGCCTACCGGAAAAAGTGATCAGCACACTTTTTCCAGGAGACCAGTCAAGTCCCTCAGGTCACCTGCCATCGTCATCTGGGTAGAAAGATGAAATAGGGGCGACAGCTTGTGAGCCCGGAATACCGCACCGAGGCCTGACGGAATTTTAGCTCGGGATTTAGTGCTGAGTCTGGCTGCGTTAGGGCACAGGCTTAGACAGCTGTTCACTGGCTGCCTGAAAAGTGCCAAGTTCCCCACATTCTAGAAAGTGGCAAGGTTGGTCCTCTTGAAGAAGGAAGGCAGGGCCGCCGATTTTCCCTCTGCAATCCCATATGCCTGTTGGACGAGATTGGCAAATTGTTCGAAAGGATAGTTGCCACTCGCCTCAACAGACTTCTGTCGCGCGTCGGTCCCGATTTGGCTGAAAGCAATTATGGATTCCGACGGAAGCATTTAACTGTAGATATCATTATGCGCGTCCGGTCCCTGTCGGAACAAACAGTATCCCAGGGTGGAGTGGTGTTGGCGCTAAGTCTCGATATCGTCAACGCCTTTAACTCTACCCTGGGATGCAATCAGGAAGGCACTAGCATATCACCAGGCTCGCCTATCTGTGAGGCATAATCGGGGACGACTTGCGCGACAGGTATATTTTGTACATGGAGCAAGATTGTAGGAAGATCCGGAGGTAGATCAAACGTGAGGTTCCGCAGGACTCGGTGCTAGGTCCACTATTGTGAAACCATGCGTACGATGTGGTTCTACGTGTTGACCTTTCTGCTGGCGTAAATATCGTATGCTATGCCGACGTCACACTGGTGATTACTTTCGAGGGGACCATGGGAGCTCGCCGAAGTTGGGACGGAAGTCGTCGTTGCCAAAATCCAAGAGTTGGGTCTAGAAATAGCGCCTCATAAGAAGAAGAAGAGCACTTTAAGTGCCTAGTCCCCTGAATTGAGAGGGTGTCGGGTACTATGCAGAGAATAGAATAGAATAGAATAGTTCTTTATTGCTTCCAAAGTGTGTTCCATATAGTCCCTGCGCCACTACTGTGTGGGGCCGTAGTGGGTGAGTCAGCTACTTACGCTATGTGTATCCCGCGAGGGAATTGTATAGTGTAGAGTAAACTATTTATTTACTTTATAGATTGGTGTGCAGTGTCCGCATGAGCGTGTGCACGCAGGTACACTGACTATATTATTAATCGAATAAATAACTTACGTACTATTTTACAATCTAGCTTACAATCTACTTACTGGCTAAGGGGAGGTGCGGTGGGAAGGTGGGTTAGTGTACAGGGAGTTTTGTGGAAGGATGGGATGGGGTGTTGGAGAGGTGGGGGTTACAGTAATTGTGAGTTAATTTCGCTCTCGTCTCTGTCTTGCGCTAAGGAGGAGCAACGGCCTCGGAGGGAGGTCGTTTCCGTGGCTGTCCTTGGCGTATCTCCTAGGTGTGGGACGTGCTCTATAGTTGATTTCACCCAGTCTCGTACACTCGAGTGCCGGGTTGAATTGGCCATGAGCCGTGTGAGGTGCACCCGGCTGTTGAAGAACTTGCACTTCCAGTGCCGCTATCTTCTTCAGCATACTCGCGTGGAGATCGTGGGCTCTAAGGTGCCACGCCTCAGAGTACAGCATCTCCCAGAGCAGGTCGGTGTCCAGGCAGCGGGGCATCTGTCCCGCGCACTTGAGCGCCATCCGATATTGCCCCTCGATGCGCTCTAGGTTCGAGAGGGAGTACTTGGGCAAGAGCTGCACCAGCCCGTTATCCATTATCGGGACGATACAGGCTTGGATTATCGCTGGCTTGGTGTTGAGGGTAACTTTGCTTCGGTTGCCGATGACCGGCCCGAGCGTGCCTCTGACCTTTTTTAATTTAGTGACCACAGTGTTGGTATTAACGTTCATGGACAGTCGTTTGTCCATTTGCACCCCGAGGTATTTTGTTAATGTTTTGTACGGAATTTTGGTACCTTTTAGTCTCACGTACAGTCTATATTTTTTCTTCTTTGTGAACATTATACACTCCGTTTTGTCCACATTGCACTGTAGCCTCCAGCGCGTATAGTAATCTATTATTGCCTCCACCGTCCATTCGACGCGCCGGGTGGCTACGTCCTCGTCAGAGGTTGCACTATTCTGGTTTGTCGGTGGGTCCGAGAAGTTTAGAATGCAGAAATCATCGGCGTACTGCGATAACCTATCTCCTCTCACTGTTCCATGGTCCTTGCCCAAGTCGCTCACGTACAGATGAATATTACGGGTCCGAGAATCGAGCCCTATGGCACTCCATGCGGAATGCGGTGTTCTTCCGTCCGGGTATTCCTGAAGTGCCCAACCAGCCGACGATCTGCTAGATAGCATCTTTATGATGTTGTTGCAAACGTCGCCGTTCTGTAGCTTCTTCACCAGACCCTGATGGTTGATGGAATCGAAGGCCTTGGACAGATCCGTCGATACCATCGCCACGCTCCTTCCTTCATTGATGGCGTCGGCAATGATTTTGCCGGTGCGCAGTATCTGAGTTGCAGTGCCACGGAGCTTGGTGAATCCGTGTTGATAATGAGGCTGGAGCTTCTCAACCGTGGCCTTCAGGCGGGTGAGAATCAGTCGCTCCATCAGCTTACCCATGATGTTGGGCAGCGTGATGGGTCGATATGACTTTGCTTCTTTGTGGCTCTTACCCGGTTTGCGGATAAATATGCAGGTGCCGAGTTTCCATCTGGTTGGGAAGTAGCCAGTCCGCAGCCACGTACTGCGCAACCAGCAGGTATGTCTCCCGAAATACCTTGCCAACAAGTTTCAGTGCGTCCGCTTTGATGTTGTCGGGGCCGGGCGCTTTTTTATTCTTAAATTTTGCCAGAGCGGTCTTGATTTCTTCAAAGCAGGTTGGCTCTAGCGGCTGGAACGGAGTGTAGTGTTCCGTTCCCTCATCTTCTTTGTCGATGTGCGCCATCTTAACGATGGCAGCGTCCACTAGGCTGTTTACCGTCTCCCCCTCGGTGTTGCATCCTGCGATGTGGGGCAGTCTGGTTATCGGTTTCTTGAGATTTCGCTGGATTCTCCACATCTGGGCTCGATTCTCATTGGGCTCATCTAGTTTGGAGATCCAGTCTTTCTCTTTATACTCGGCTAAAGCCTTAGCGGCATCGTGTTTGGCCTTGTTTTATAATGTTCTGGCCGCCTCATAGACGATCAGTCGGCCCAGATCGTACGAGGCTTCAGTTTTCTCATTGCTCTTTTTGCATCCAGTAGAGCATTAATGTTGTCTGGAAGCAGTTCTCTTCTGTTCGGTGTATGAAGGGTAGCAAGTTCACCGAGCGTCTCGGTGATAATATCCTCCAGTCGCTCGACGTATCTCTCGCACTCTTCGGCTGTGTTGATTTCAACTGGCAGCCGTTCCACAGCGCGTCTGCCCAAGGCCTCCTGGTATTGATTTCTCAGTTTCAGGTTGTCGGCTATCCTCTTGGTGTTCCTCATTTTAGACTCCTCTACATCGCACGGCAGCGCCACGTCGAGTAGCCACGGCAGATGATCCGATCCAACGTCTTCCAGTTGTTTCGTCCTACAGTCTAGTTGCTGGTGGGTGACGATCGCGGTGTCCAGGATCAACGCCCCTGCGCTGGTTGGTCTGGAGAGCAGGCCATTGTTCACCAGATAGCACAGTCCTTGAGCAATTGCGTCCCTGACTGTGCCTCCCAGACCTCTATCGCTTTAGTGTAGTAGTTCTCTCATACGCAGGTTGAGATCGCCAACGATGATGGATGGCTCGTCTAGAAGGGTCTCTTCGAGCTCAACGGTCAGATCGTTCTGGTCAAGAATTTGGAAATATAGTCCTTTGATTTTGAGGTATGCCCCAGTTGAGGAATTGGTGTAGAGTTTGATGGCCACTCCCTCGATGTTGCGTCGCTCGTCTCCCCAGTCCGGGGTCACCTCCGTCTCAACCCAGCGGCAACCTCGCCAGACGTACATGGCGGTAACCAGGTGTGGTTCAGTAGCGTGATAGATCTTGTCATAATCTGGGATATTGAATCTGTTCGACTCGAAGTTTGTTCTGCACTCATTGATCACGATCACCGAGGGTCTGTGCTTCTGCGCTAGATTTTTAATCTCATTGAACTTCTTTTGCATACTTTGCGCGTTTAGATGTAATATGCGCACACTTCTTATTTTCTTTGTCTCCGCAGGTTGTCTATTATCCATTAACAGTGGTTGCAGTTTTGGCTCCCTTGATTATGAGTAGTTCTGTCTTCAGGCTGTTCATTTCTGTTCTCATGTTGTTTACTTCAGCTACCACAGAGTCCATGCACTGGAGAATGGCCAGCAGGATATCCATGTTCGGCTGGTCGGTGGATGCAGTCAGTGCTGTTTGCCTTGGTGGTGAGGGAGGCGTAGGGCCGAGCTCTTCATCAGTGGTGATCGAAGTGCTCGAGGCTCCCAGCTGCGGGAACTCCTTGATCTTTCCTTGGCCTTGGCCTGGCGGTCCAGCAGGACTCGCTCTCTGATGGCCAGCTATTTCTAGAACACAGGGCAGTTAACCTGGTTGGCTCCGTGCCCCTCGTGTTTACAGTTGGAGCATATCGTGATTGTAGCTCCCATAGCTGTGACCGTGATCATGGTTCAATCCTTTTTGGTGCCGTAGCACGAGTGCTTCGTATGGTCGAAGGCATAACAATTCTTACACTGGTTATTATGAGCTAAATTCTCCATGTATAGCTGAGTCTTGTTCTTCTTCGCGCAGAAGATAGTCCTCTGCGACATGTCAAAGGCGTGGAGAATATGTCTCACGGTGTATTTGTTTTCAAAGAGCAGTAGGTGTAGTCTGCCTGATTTGCCGATTGGTTTGACTGTCAGCGGTGTAATCCCGATGCATCGGTTGATCTCTTATGCAATCGCCTCCACCGTTACTCCGAAAGTTTCATTCTTTATGAAGATCTTGGTCGTCATGTTCCTTTCCCTCATGGGTTTAGGGGCTATCACTCTGGCTGGATTGAGTTCTTCAATTTTCGTGAGGATATCTCTCCTCGCCTCTATGGATGATGGTACGATGTGTATCTGTTTCGCAACCAATGTAATTTTTGGGTTAGTGGCTGATGTCACCTGTCTTATAGCTGTGAGTGCCTGGGTATTGGCACAGAGGTCTTCATCTCTTATCATTATGACCGGGATGTGTGTCTTCTTAATTCTTTCCTTCTTTTGGACCAGCCTGTTGTCCTCATTCGATGAACTAGGTCGCGGTCTTTTCCTTTTGTTCGTAGCACCTGATGTAGTATTATCCTCGGCGCTTATGTTATTTAAATTAGTTGCTACGCTACATTGTTCTGCCGCTGGTGTTCGTTCTCGATACCGTCCAATAGACTGAATTTATTATGTAGCGGCACGCACGGCGCCACGTTTGCTTGTAGTTTCCTTATATGGGCAATCGCGCGATGCGTTTGTGTCATGTTCTCATTGTCTTTCACTATGTTTGACCGCGCGGCGGTAGGGTGATGCGGTGGGCGAAGCATCGTGGCTCCGTCTCGCTCACACTGTTTCGCGCTCGCTTCTCGCGCGTTCTGCTCTCCTAGCCCCAAGGCTCTGACAGCGCGCGACATGTTATTGGCGCGCGGGGCGGGGCCACGCCCTCGAACTCGAACGTTCGTGGCGTACGTGACTGCGGCACAGCAACAGCGACGTCGCTCACGTGACGCACGCCTCCGTCGGCGCGCGCAGGTGCGGTGTGTAGAACCTTGGACTTTACACCGACGCCGGGCGCAGCCGCGGCGCTCTGGAATATTCCACCGCCACCGAGTTTCCCGCGTTTCGTTTTCTTCACTTTATTGATACTGTTTAGTGCAGTTTTAGGATATATTCTTGCACATTGGTCACTACCACAGTTTATGCATCTGTAGTACTTTTCCGAGGTAAATTCTAATTGGCTTATGGTGACGAATTCACGTATACACTTGCAGTATCCGCACACTCTGTTCGATTTTATTCCAGTCCTCAGTGGGGCCAGGTATACGGTCATTTCACTATATAGTTCTACGCTTTGTCCGTTAGTTCTTATTTTTGTGCTCACCGCAGCTTGCATTAGGAGGTCTAGCTTGCACTGTTCATATTTCACTAGTTTGGTATTCGCCTGGGTGGCACCCCAGGTGAGAGCGTCCAATCTGATGTCGCTTTGGCACTTATAACATTTAATTAATTTTTCCTTCATGGAAATCGGGTCCCAAATCATCTTGACGCCATTGTCCATTATTTCACTATTTGTTGCACTGTGCGTGTCCATAATTGCAGCAGAATCACTTAATTGCCCAGTTTGGGCCATCGTAGCCCGGGGGACCGAGCCCACGGGCACCGAAATATTCATATTTCAACTAAAATCACTCTATTACACGGAAATTTCCACTTCAACGGCTATTTTGGCGCGCAGTTACGTCACAGTGGGCGTAGGCAATATGGCGGCAACTGAGCGGCGGTATGCGGCTCGATGCGCGGAACTCCGAGCTAGAACGCGTCCGCTCGCTACGGCTGCCGGCGCGTGACAGCTATGCAGAGCGTGCTGCCCGCGTACTGCTGCCCAATATAGGGTGACCGAGGGAGGATGTCCGCCGCTGGGGTAGTGCGGTCCGTAGCCTTACATGGGGCACCTGTGTGGGCAAAAAGGTTAGCCATCCAACGCTGTAGAACTAAAATATACAGTGTCCAGAGGATCCATCTCAGTCGTCAGGGCTGGCAGCGCATCTGCATTTCGATTCTTGATTGAAGATAAATGTAGAGGTCTACGGGCTACAGCATCCATTTACCATCAGGTGGACTGTGTGCTCATTTGTCACCCTTATTATTTATAAAAAACGGATCGTGCGAGGATACCGCACGGTATCCTTTGGGGCGGCAACAGTTCTGGCTCACTTTCAACCCCTAGATATACAGGCGGATATGAATGCGAAAGTGTACAACGGAATCCGCATCCTCCGTCAGGGATGTGGCAGTGAGCCAAATGATGCTCTCGAGTCTTTAAAACGGCAGGAGCAACAGAACGCTTTAGTGACATGACACACTCGACTTAACAAGGAGCGCTATGCACGGAAATACGTTATTAGCGCAATCCTGCCGGTTTTCGATGCCGTGACGAGTAAATGCATTCACCTACAGACTTACACAGATAATTATCGAGCACGTGTGATTCGCTGACTATCTGTGTAAGATCGTATACAAAGCGACGGCAAACTGCTTTCACTGTGGTGGGCTGGACAAGGATTCCGCGTCTCATACGCTTGCGGCTTGCCTGGCGTCGGAACGGGAGTGGATAATCCTGGCGAGTCGGATTGGTGGGAACCTCTCCCCGCCAGCAGTCTTGTCAGCAACGCTGAGCGAGGATTCAGTGTGGAGGGCCGTAGCCACATGCTGTGAGTCCGTAATGGTACAGAAGGAAACTACAGAGCGAAACAAATCAGGAAATGGGCGGAGGAGTCTTCCCAATAACAGATATGAAATAAAAATTTCCGGCTGCCAACCCGTCTGCCAAGCATGATATACAATCTCTATGAAGGATTCCATAGGTAGGTCTATCTCCAGCAGTAGGCTTTTATAGGTTGTAACGATGATGATGATAATGAGTATTGGAACTCTATTTTAAAAACATTAAATATGTTAAATTTTTATGAAAGTAGCCTCCGCCTGTGGCTCCACGTGTAATAGTCGTTAGTGTAAATTTTATCGACAACTTTTATTATCGCTTGACAATTTTTTTCCATATGTTATTACAGAGTGTTATGCTAAATTGCGCTCAAATCCGTTAAGCCATTTTCAAACTATGTGTGAGTAATACGAACCGAATATAAGTTGAACAAACCTTAACAATACTGAGGGTAAAACATTTTACATATAATATTATGGTGTATCTTCAATACAGATTTGTCCAAAATGCAATAAGCAAATTAAATAGTATCCTGCCGGTTGAATACTGAATTCAAGCATCAACACATTACCAAAAGTATTAATTTTTGTGTTGGATGCTTTCCGAGTAGCTTTATCAAATTACGACATGCTTCACAAGCGTGATGATGTTATTTTAATACCTCTGTTATATATGTTTGATAATTAATCAGTAATAATAGAAATCATCAAATCGAACATGAGGAGAAAAATCATTATCATCGCTGTCCTTAGTGGCTGAAGGTGCTGTAATGACTGCTAACATACCGAATATTCTACCAAACTTTTCACGATGGCTTTAAGCCTTAAAGATATTGCTTAAATTATGATACAAAAGGATATAATCAGTATAGTGTTGTATGAAAAATATTCGGCGGATACACTCAGGTGAAAATCACCATGTCACTGTTTTTAATGTATTTATTTTGCTGTCATACCTTGGATAACAAAACTAAAATTACTTGAAATAAAATGAGCATACTCGTAGTATGGAATAAATTAATTATCTTATTCATTCATTAAATACATAAACAACATAAAAACTTACGTTTCTTTTTCTGCATGTTGATAATCTTTTCATTTTGTTTTCTCCATTCGACGATAAATATACTAATGTATACCTATGGGTTCGTTTTTAAAATAAAGTTCTAAAAAATAAATCTAAGTTTCCATAAATTTAGACAAAATTCTACACTATTAGCTATTTTCCATATTAATTTCAATGAATATAGGTCACATAATACGTGGCGATCATTTACAGAGGCGAAATGTATTTCGTGTTATTGAAATAGCCTAGTTTAACCAATTAGGAAGCCATTTGTAAACTATTATATTTTCGTATCAGGTTTCAGTGTTACGATTATGCCTACGTACAGAGTTTACCTATTTTGTTAGCCTGTTTAGAAACAAAAATTCTGTAAATAATAATATTCTCACAAAGTATAACGTTCATCTGGGCGATTTAAATGGCGGCACTTCAAATTACAATTGGAAATTGTTGCACAATGATCAGATTACCCGGTTATTACTTACGGCTCTTGGATCCTTATCCCAGCTAGAAGCAGCATTAACATTTCCGTGTACTAATAGTACATAATACAAAATATATAGTAAATAATACAAAATATATAGTAAATAATACATTTATTTGCACTGAAATTAGTTTTAGTAAGATCTTGTTTCTTTAGAGACAGTGCCGGGGAAAATCACAATAGAGATACAAATAACCAACCAATTCTTATATTGGCACAAATGTTAGCCTATACTTAAATATTTAGACCTAGGACATGCGACTTAATATTGGTCTCATATTTTAATGACAAAAATCGCCTTTGTAGTAAAATTATATGCTAAGAAATCCAATAAAAATTGATTTGTATATACCTTGTTATTAATAAAAAAAAATATCAAAAAAATAAATTACAGTTGCTTTGTAATTTATTTACAGTTTAAATGTTAACCCTAAGGACAGTTTAGCTAAAAGCATTCGACCTTTGCAAAACGCCGGGTACTATGTTATGGGTAATTAATACCCGCAGGCGTTTTAGTACCTAATATTGGAAAATGTCTTCCACTGATACAAAAATTAGATAGCGTAATTGGATTTCAGCCTATGTTATTTAATCCTTATTTTAATTTATAGTTAGGGAGTGAACAATATACTATTCATTCATTTATTTTAGTCTATGAAAAATCAACTACTGAACATAGACCACTACAGATTACCTCATAAGAGGATTTTGTCATAGTTGCCATGCTTAGTAGATGAGTTGGCAATCAGAGTTTTTTTTTCAGTTGTTTGCGTCACGTTGTAAATAGAAACAGCAAAGGGTTTTTGAAATTTTACTTTCTTTTATAATTTTCTTTGTTTATGCATTTTCAATATTGCTATAATAAGAGACATGTATTACCTATCAAAGTATAGTTTAAGACTGGTAGCAAATAGCTACCTTGACACCTGCAATTTTTGGAATAATTTAAAATCAGTTCCAAGTAATTTAAATTAGACAATAAGACAATGGAGGTAATCTCTAGCAAAGATAATTTAAATACCTTAGAATATAACTCACCAATACCCAACTGTGTAATTTCACAAAATATCAATAATAAAAAACTGTAATAAAATCATGGTTATAACAATCAAAATATACCAGGTATGTTAAGCAAAAAGAAAAAAATAGAAATTGGATTATTTTTAAATAGTAAGCATATAGAAATTTTATGTATTACTGAACGTTGGTTGAAAGATTACAACACCATATTTAATTTCAGTAATCACCACATGATCAGTTCTTTCAATAGATATACTAAATATACGTGGTGGCTCCTTAATATTAGCTAATAAATCCATATCATGTAAAGAACCTAAAGATAGTGTGAGCCTCTCTGTTGATCGAACTGTAGAAATGGCATGTATTGAGCTAGAGCACCTCATTTTTGTCAGTGTTTACCCCCATGTTCATGGTTTGATACATTCGAAAAAAGTAATAAACAGAACTAATTTCTTGCAGTACTAGAGGATTTTATATCAATCTCCTGGAAACTAATTCAATCAGTATAAAATTTTGCTAATTGTTTAAACGATTCAATCTTTATAATTTATTCTTTGAAGCTACACGTATTGCAGGGTGTAGTACAACTTATATTGAAAATATTTTTACAGATGTGGTACCAATCAAGAAATTCATAATTCAATAACTAAGTTCAGGACACTGTGGACTATTGGTTTCATTAATATATATGTACAAAAAAACAGGAAACTGAAAAAAGTGTGTCCGATTTATGCAAAACGCCTGGAGAGATTAAGAAGTAATATGGTAAAAAACATTCATTCGCTTTTGTTCTTGGAGTTTTTATATGTCTTGTTTTTTTTAAATCATTGAATAGAATAGAAAAGACAGATGTGACAAGTGGTAAAAAAAAGAATGTTTTTTTTTCTGTGAATGTCCAAAAACATGGCATTTTTCTGTTGAATTGTATCACTGCATTTAATTTCAGTAATCTAATAAGTCTAATCAATAAGTTCATAACTACTGTAATTCAAAGCACGAAATTATAATTTACATATTAGCAAGACAAAGATTTTTATTTAAAAACGGCATCCTAACTACCACGCGTTCTTCCCGTGAACATGGTGTACACCATGTGATTATCTAAAAAATAAATAAATTGATTTTTTATTTTTGGAAAATAAATAAATTAAAAACTGTGATATGGTGATTTTCGCCTGAGTGTAACCGCCAAGTATTTTTTGTACAATACTGATTATATGATATTATATATCCTATACCTTTAAACGAGCAATTCTTGTATATATAATCGGAATCTTGGAAACGACTCCAACGATTTTCTTGCGTCCTGTCTTCGGTCCGATTTTTTTTCCTTTTTTTCAAGTTCCCTTCTTTTGTGAGAAAATCTATCATTTCAAACCCTTTTTTTAGTATTTTTTAAAAATACGAAAATTTTAAGTAAACTAATTGCACTCATGATTTTTTATTCAAATAACCAGTTCAGTTTTTTCTATTATGTCAATAAGATCAAAAATATTATTTATGTTTAATCAGTATGTAATTTGTATCTAAATGTAATTTAAAAAAAAAAAACAGAGAAATGCTCGGTCATCCGGGTACTTTACTGATTATATCCTTTTGTATCATCATTTAAGCAATATTTTTAAGGCTTAATGCGATCGTGAAACGTTTGGAAGAATATTCGGATCTTAGCAGTCATTACAGTACCTTCGTCCACCAAGAACAATGATAATAATGATTTTTCTCCTCTTGTTCGATTTGATGACTTCAATTATTACTGATTAATGATCAAACATATATAAAAGATGTATTAAAACAACATCATCACGCTTGTGAAGCATGACGTAATTTGACAAAGCTACCCGGAAAGCATCCAACACAAAAATTGCCACAATTGGTAATGTTTTGATGCTTGAATTCGGTATTCAATCGGCAGGATAGTATTTAATTTTCTAGGATAGTTTTTTTCCCATGAGTGACCCACAATTTTTTTTGCGAATTTAAAGATTTTTAATAAGACATGACAAATGGTCGTCGAAAAGGGCAGTACAAAGTCTTACCGGCAAGCTAGTAATATGTAAAATGTTTTACCCTCAATACCGTTAAGACTTGTTTAACATATATTCGGTTCGTATTGCTCACACTTAGATTGAAAATGGCTTAACGGATTTGAGTTCAATTTAGCACAACACTCTGTAATAACATATGACAAAAAATTGTCAAGCGATAGTAAAAGCTGTCGTTAAAATTTACACTAACGATTATTACACGTGGAGCCGCATGCGGAGGCTACTTTCATAAGAATTGAACAAATTTAATGTTTTTTAAAAAAAATTATACTCATTATCATCATCATCATCGTTACATCCTATAAAAGCCTACTGCTGGAGATGGACCCACTTATGGAATCCTTCATAGATATTATATATCATGCTTGGCAGACGGGTTGGCAGCCGCAAATTTTTATTTCATAGCTGTTATTGGGAAGACTTTGCTGCCCATTTCCTGACTTTTTTCGCTCTGTAGATTCTTACTATCCTCTTGGTGCGATTCGGGTTAGTGGATATTCTTATACTGCCACTACAACATAATATTATGTAAATATTTTATTTCCCTGAGAGCTGATTTACAAGATAAAAAAATGAAATTTTCCTTAAAATCATGTATAATGGTAAATTTTGGATTATATATATATATATATATATATATATATATATATATATATATATATATATATATATATATATACAGTAGTAGTATAAGTACAGTAAGTTTCGTGAGTTATTAACATCATTTGCCGGCTCTTTAATGTTCAAATGGAAAAGGAAACAATGTAATAATGTTTACTATTTTGACATGATAACTTTTATTAAAAAATAATCAATCTCATTACACATACTTTTATGTACCTATGTAGGAGGTATTCAAAATTACAATTATTTCAATTCATCATCATCATCATCATCATTACAGCCCTTCACAAGTTCACTGCTGAACATAGGCCTCCCCCAAGGTATGCCACAAAGCACGGTCTTGAGCCACCTGCATCCATCGACTTCCTGCATGTCTTACCAGGTCGTCACTCCATCTAGTGGGGGGTTCCCCTACACTTCCCCTATCGGTACGAGGCTGCCACTAGAGAACCCTTCTTCCCCAACGGTTGTCGGTTCTTCGAGCTATATGGCCGGCCCATTGCCACTTCAGCTTACTAATCTGTTGGGCTTATTATTTCAATTAAAAAATATTAATTACTTAAAACAATATCTACCTAATCATTAAAATAAAATAATAAGGAACCATTTGGTCATTACAGAATCTTCTGTAGGTATTTAAAATTACAAAATAAAACAATATTACAAAATAAAACTTCTTCAGTGTTAATTACTTAAAACAATATCTAGTCACTATTGTTAAATAATATGGAGCTATTTGTTGGAACATGATGAACTAGAATGGCATTTCGAATTACAAAGAACATTTTTTATTCGGCAGTGGCATTTGCGTGTACCACATTTTGTCTTGCAATGACATCTTTGAAAGCCTTGTCCACCTGATGTTGACTGTTCATTAGCAAGATGGCGAATAGTCATTTTCACTGACTACACTTTTTCCCAATGTACGAATTTTTGTTCACAAACTGTAAACTGATTTCGTGAAAAAAAAACTGTTCGATCGTACCGTTTCCGTTGCCAAAATGTATAAATTCCGTCTTCATTTTTATCTAAGACTGTCAATAAAATGCTCCTAAAATCGCCTCGGCCTCGATCTACTTCCGATATCTTTACTCTTACTGTATCGCCTATATGACATTCTGGAAACTTTGCAGCGGAATTTTGTTTCATTTTAATGCGTGGTACTCTAAATTTAATTTCGCTTCTGAACGATTATGTTCCATATCTGCTTCTTTTGAACATGGAGGGCATGTCATGTCGTCAATTAAAATGCCATGTTCTTCACAAAGGGTGCAAGTATTTTCTGAGGTATGAAGTTCGGAGGTCTGTTGTTCATCGTTCAAGTCATTTTCCTTAAAGTTATCTATCACTTCTTGTAGGTCTTCTTCCGTTGTTAGATGGTTTGTTACTTCATGAGGCAAATACGATGACTTTAAATCCACTTTTATTTCACTTCCAAACATCGCTTTGTAGGGTGTTCTCTTGATACCGTCGTGATAGGCGGAATTTTTCTTTAATTGTACAAATTTAAGACCCTCCGACCATTTTGAGGATTTTTCATCACTCATCCACGTCATCAAGATGTTTTGAATATCTTGGTTGGCACGTTCAACACTGCCTTGCGATTGGCTATATCGAGGTTAGCCGTGTACCATCTTCAAGCCTGAACACTTTTACTGCATTATTCTGCTATAACGCTGTTCGCAAATTCGCGCCCATTATCAGATTGTAGAATTGATGGTGCGCCAAATAGGCAAAATATGTCAAGAAGCACGTTTGACACCTCCAGTGCCGTTTTTGTACGTAGAGGGCGAATTAGAACACATTTAGTTAAATGATCCTGGTAAACTAAAATTAATTTAAATTCACCATCTGGACTGCTCTGCATGTCAATTAAATCAACTTGACACCTGCTGTTAATTTCGGAAGATATTATTGGTTTGACGACTATTCCTTTCTTGTCAGTTTTTAATTTCATTTGACAGGATTCACATAAACTTAAATACAATAATATTCCTTCTTGTGTCACATTCTTAAACTTTTTTTTATTCATTTATCATGCGATTCTGCCCACTATGACCCGTATCAATGTGAATGGTATGCAACACATCAAACAGGTCTGAATTTTTCACATAATTATTATAAGTAGTAGTATAAGTACAGTAAGTTTCGTGAGTTACTAACATCAAAACGAACTGATAATAATTTTTATTTGAGTGACCAACAGTACAATAATGTAATTCAAGAAGTCAGGTCAGAAGAACTCGCCGCTAAGCGTAACATTGCAGTATCGACGATTAAAAATATTTGATGTTTGCACTAATGGCAGCATAGAAAAGCTAATAGCACCAGTGGCAGGACAAGGTAATAGTATATTGTAATATAATTATAAATATATAATTCTTGCATTAAACTGTTGTGTAAGAAAGGTGAAAATATGAAAACAGTATTGTAAAGACTGTACTTGGCGTGTGAAAGTTTATAAAGGCCCGTAAGAAATTTAATGAATAAAATAGTGATATTATGTTTAATATTTTATTGATGCTTTATGTAGTGTAAATGTTCGATTGTTTTTTTTTATGTGTTATACTTGTACTTTATACGCAATACAGTTGTTTTGTTATATTGTCATGGGAAATAAAGTTATGGAACAATATATGGAAATGACTGTGATAGTGAAAATTATCGATTCAATGGGGCGTTTTCACGCGCAGTTCTCCCTACGGTTTAGCTCTGGGGTACCTTAGTAAGTAACCCAATTTTCAATTTTCGTTCGGGACCAGATACACTTTCAGCTTTTTTTATAGAAGAGGGGGCAAACGAGGATGCGGCTCACCTGATATTAAGTGACTGCCACCGACCATGATCAACCGCAACACCAGGGGAATTGCAGGTACGTTGCCGGCCCGCCTCTTTTCTTGAAGGTCCCCAGGTCGTATCGGTCCGGAAAAATCATCGGTGGTAAACTATTCCACAGAGAGGTTGTACGCGGAAGAAAACTCCTTTTGAAACGTACTGTGGTGGACCGCCAAGCATCCAGATGGTTTGGATGGTATCTGGACGTTTGCCGCGTAGTGCGATCACGAAATTTGGCGGCTGGGATTAATCCAAACAATTCCTCAGAGCACTCTCCATGGTATATGTGAAATAAAACGCAAAGAGATGCAACATCTCTTCGCAGTGCCAGTGAATCGAGCCGATCGGAGAGCACTAGGTCGTCGACGATTCGAGCCGCTCTGCGCTGGATGCGGTCAAGTGGAAGAAGCTGGTACTGGGGAGCCCCAGCCCAGAGATGGGAACAGTATTCCATGTGCGGCCGAACCTGCGCCTTGTAAAGTTGCAGGCGGTGTGCCGGCGGTGTCCCGCTCTGCTGAGCACGCCCAGCTTTTTAGAAGCCAATTTGGCCTTCTCTTCAAAGTGACCACGAAACTGCACGTCACTCGATATGTCGACGCCGAGGAATCCCATACTGGCTGAGGTAACAAGGGGAGTGCCTTGAAATTGAGGAGATACGACAAAGGGGTTCTTTTTAGCGGTTAACGCGCAAACTTGTGTCTTCTGGGGGTTAAACTGGACTAGATTTAGTCGCCTCCACTCCGAGTCTGTTCAGACTCCTTTCAAAGACTCGACTTCAGACACAAGTTTGTCCCGGCACTCGGAGACGTTTTCCCGAGAAATATTGGCTCGGCCGGTGTAAAGAGCATCACCAGTGCTGTCACCTGCATAGCAATGAATGTTACGGGTTTGCAACATATCATTGATATGCAGAAGAAACAGCGTTGGCGATAGCACGCAGCCTTGTGGAACACCAGCATTAATAGGATTGCAATCGGAGCTTGCACCGTCTACAACGACCTTGATGCTCCGATCTGCAATAAAGCTGATGATCCAAACGCACAATTTCTCGGGAAGCCCATAGGAAGGGAGCTTCGAAAAAAGCGCTTTGTGCCAAACCCGATCGAAGGCCTTCGCAATGTCCAAACTAACGGCCAATGCCTCCCCCTTGGACTCTACTGCCTCCGCCCATCTATGAGTTAGGTAGACTAGAAGATTACCAGCTGACCGACCACGGTGAAAACCGTATTGGCGGTCACTAATCAGCTGGTGATCCTCAAGGTACCTCATGAGCTAGCAGTTTACAATGGACTCCATTGTTTTGGAGAACAAGGAGGTGATGGCGATAGGCCGGTAGTTGAACGGGTCTAACGGACTAAGCAGTCGCCTTTTTTAGGGATCGGGTGAACGAAAGCCGTCTTCCATGATTTTGGGACTACGCCTAGGGAGTAGGAGTACCGGAAAAGACGTGTTAAAACCGGTGCCAACTCTGGAGCACACGTCCTCAGCACAATTGGGGGGATTCCGTCAGGCCCACTCCACTTGTGGATGTTTAAATTTTAAATTTAGCTTTCAATCAAGAAAGAAAATGAAATTAGGAAAGTAAAGTGAAAGTCGTAAAATTTCGGTATCACATTTCCAAGGGGCGTTTACGAACAATTGCTATTTTATTTCGCCAGTGTCTACCCTAAAAGTGGGAAAGTAAAACAGTTTACAAAGTACATGACTGACGTCTGGACCGGGACCGTTCCTTGGGGCCCGTTATCTTAGTCGTCAACCACTTTCTTTTGTGAGGGCGGTTAAAGTTCTAAGTTTAATGTCATATCAGGGGTCACGCCTACCGCGTTGATTCCTGAACCCAACGAGGTGTGGTATAGGAAAGTAGACCAGTAATTGGTTGATCACTGTTACGGCATGAGATAAAGAACAAGACGTACTGATTGGTTTGTCTAGCTGTAAGTAGTGCTTAAGCAAATATTCTGTAGTGGTTTAAGCTAATTCATAATTCGATATACTACTTTTGGCGAATAAATTTATTTTAACGGGAATGACTTGAAACTCGTTTTAAGTTTTATCATTTGCAACTCGTTGTTATTGTTAATTGCGTGTAGGTTGAGCGTCAACGACTACTGATCCTTCAAATGTAATTACCAGTGCCGCGACATATGATACCAAATGTTTGTGCATTATGAGTTGATGAGCAATACGTTGTCACCCCGTTCTGTCTATACCTAGTTGTTTATATATTCAGACTTTATTGTATTTGGGTTTTGTTTTCGGGAATTGTGGGAGTTAGTGGTGATCGGGCCGACAATGATATAACACGCGGGTATATAATAAATCGCTTTTTCTTACAAGGACCTTTTTCATTTCTAACACACTACACTTAATTAGTTAAAAATATTATAACACGAATTACTTGAAAGTCAGAAAGCGTCAAAATAATATTAATAAGGCCCTGCAGCCCGAATTTCGGTCACGGTGGCCAGTTATAACGGTGACTAGCAATCATAGAACTAGCTTATGGCACACAAGTACACTAGTATTTATTTTAGTCATAAGTCTTAAGTAAATATAATTTTAAAAGCAAATCCGTTATTAACTGTCGTATGAATGCAAACAATGCCGTTCGTTTAGTCACGGGGAAAGCTTCTTTCGTTTTATTACAAAATGTAATAAATATGTCTCAAACAAGCGTTAAGGTATAAATCTGGTTTGAGAAAAATATGTTTCAATAAATAAATCTCGTGGAAAATATGCTAATTATAATGTAAGGTATGAAATTTGACAGCAAATGTAAAATTTCGTAAAAACTATGGCGACATTTTCCTTTGTGATTTCCATTATATAAATAAATTTTGTAGCAAGCTCGTTATTAAATTACTGACTATTTTTATTTTTATTGGTTGTTTGCAACACACGTTAGAGCCCGCGGGCTCAAACATACTTAGTCTTTGTCATTAAAAGGTACCCTATGTCTCTTTTTACGTGCCATGCACTGCCTTGGATATTTTTTTCACGCTGTTTATTCCAATACGTAGCATATATTACTACAATGACTATGTCAACATTGGCTCGTAGTTGGATTAATCTAATATCTCCAAGAAAAAGAATTTTTGAGTAAAATACCGTTAGTCGCGACTTGAGGATAACAAAGATCTTTATTGGGTCGGAAGTAACGTTTAGTATAATATCAGTGCATTAATATGAACTTTTGTTTTAAATTTTTGTGCAATGAAGTTTATTAGTTAATTTGAGTAACAAAATATTATATTAATGAATTCAAATGTTACAAAGTATTTAAGAAATTAAAAATAATAATCAAGAATAAATACATAACAGAAAAAAATACCAATTTTTAGTACTATTTTGAGAGCAACATACCTGCGAACGTAACAATACTGACGACTGCAAGTGATACGCCAGTGAAGTTTTTGTGGTCCACTTTTTGCGGCTTAATATCATATTTTACCTTTATTCAATGGGAGGAAATATGATAATGATTCGTCGCCGCAACACAACGACTTAAGTAAATACGATAAGATTAATGTAATTTCCAAGAAATATATTATATCTCAATTTCATTGTAAATATTATAAAAATGTAATCTACGACAAATTATCACTTAAAATTTACTTTTCATTCAAATGCCAGGGAATGGCGTCACAATCCTCCTTTCTTTAATCTTGTTCTTGATTCAATTTAGAAGCCTTGATTAATCTTGCATAAGTTC